AAAAAAAAAAAAAAAAAAAAAGAAAAGAAAAGAAAGAAAAAGCTACACCAATATGCTCCTATGTCATATGCTCCTTTTTTTTGTTTTTTTGAGACAGAGTTCTGCTTTTGTTGCCCAGGTTGGAGTGGAATGGCACGATCTCAGGTCACTGCAACCTCCACCTCGCAGGCTCTAAGTGATTCTCCTGCCTCAGCCTCCTGAGTAACTGGGACCACAGGTGTGCACCACTGCACCTGGCTAATTTCTTTTTTGTATTTTTGGTACAGATGGGGTTTCGCCATGTTGCCTGGGCTGGCCTTGAACTCCTGAGCTCAAGTGATCTGCCTGCCTCAGCCTCCAAAAGTGCTGAGATTACAGGCATGAGCCACCGAGCCAGGCCCCTGTCTATTAAATTCTGTGTGTAGTAGTTGAAAGTGTGTCTCACCTCACTGGTCTACAAGGCTCATGAGTACAGGGACTGTGTCTGTTTTATTCACGGCAGTATCCCCAGTGCCTGAGACAGTGCCTGGCATGTAGTAAATGCTCAAGACATACACGTAAAGGGGTGGATCGTTTCCCCAGAAATGCCCTCGACTGGAACTGGGAAACCTCCCATTTCTCTGCCCACAGCAGCTGCGTGTCCCTCCCCAGGAGGTTCTGCGCTGCTTACCGTATTTCTTATTGAAAAGCTCCTGGACCTGCTCCCTTAGCATGTGGGCGATGTAGATCCGTGAGAGCCTCGCGTCGTAATTTTCTGCAAAGCGCAAAATGATTATGGGTTTGGGCTGTTCAGTGAAAAGGCATTTGGTGACTTTTAAGGAAGATGATTTTCTAATTATGGGGAACTCTTTCTCTGACAATTAACGGATCTTTGGAGTGGGCCCCTCAGGTCCTTCAGCACCAATGTCTTGATGGAGATGTGTGTTTTCCAGAAGGACATGCACTGTTACCACCACAGTGATGACTTGGAAAAGTTAATTGTTGACATTTGAAAACCACCAAACCAATAAATAAGCCCCGGAGGGGAGGGGCACCATGGAGTGCAGAGTCCTGTGCCCCGGGCTGGCGAGCAGGGGACGGGGGCTTCATGAAGTCACTCGGGGGCTGGAGACAAGGAAGGAATGGAAGACCAGCTGATCCAGCAGATGGTGGAGGACGGGCATTCCCCACAGACACAGCGGACGGGCCTGGCAGCTCCCAATGCAACCTCCACCTCCCAGGCTCAAGTGATTCTCCTGCCTCAGCCTCCTGAGTAGCTGGGACCACAGCCATGTGCCACTGCGCCTGGCTAATTTATTCTTTGTGTTTTTGGTAGAGATAGGGTTTTGCCATGTTGCCCAGGCTGGCAGCAAACCCCTGAGCTCAAGTGATCCACCTGCCTCAGCTGGGATTACAGGCATAAGCCACCGAGCCACCTTCACCCATTAAAAACCCCCAAGTGTGGCCAGGCGCGACAGCTCATGCCTGTAATGCCAGCACTTTGGGAGGCCGAGGCGGGAGGATCACCTGAGGGCAGGAGTTGGAGACCAGCTGGGCCAACATGGTGAAACCCCATCTCTACTACAACTACAAAAATTAGCCGGGCATGGTGGTACATACCTGTAATCCCAGCTACTCGGGAGGGTGAGGCAAGGTAATCCCTTGAACCTGGGAGGTGGAGGTTGTAGTGAGCCGAGACTGCATCACTGCACTCCAGCCTGGATGACAGAACAAGACTCTGTCTCAGAAAAAACAAAAACAAAAAGCTGGGCGCAGTGGCTCACACCTGTAATCCCAACACTTTGGCAGGCTGAGGCCGGCAGATCATCTGAAGTCACGAATTCGAGACCAGCTTGTCCAACATGGTGAAACCCCATCTATACCAAAAAAATACAAAAATTAGCCGGCTGTGGTGGCATATGCCTGTAATCCCAGCTACTCAGGAGGCTGAGGCAGGAGAATCGCTTGAACCCAGGAGGCAGAGATTGCAGTGGGCCGAGATTGTGCCATTGCACTCCAGCCTGGGCGACAACAGTAGAACTCCATCTAAACAAACAAACAAACAAACAAAGTGTCAGCATGCGCCGGAAGGATCCAAGACCACCATTTCTCTCTTTCCCTCTCTCTTTTTTTTTGAGACAGGGTCTTGCTCTGTTGCCTAG